AGACGCGAATGTCCCCTTAAAATTTCAGCTTTCTAGCTTTCTTGGTTCGCAAGTTAGCGATTTACCTACAAAAACTTTGGCGGGCCTGTACGTGGGTACCACGCGAGTATGAGCGCTCAGTTTGGGAGTGGCGCCTGTACATGCATGTAGATTAAGTTCCCAAATTTTCAGCCCTGTAGCTTCTGTAGGTCTCGAGATGAAAAATCCGTACAGAAGCCCGACACACATACACACACAACACAACACACACACACAACACATGCACACAACACACACACACACATCCTCTCGGCAATATGTATTTTCCGCATTGCATAGCTGCAAAAACCACATAAAAAACATGGAATATATAGATTGTAAGGTTAAGCCCATGACTATATCAAGATACTACTGTAGGTGGTCTTTATATCCGTCAAACCATCCCATCCCGGCGGTGGCTTTCACTTCTATGGCATGAACTAATTGCAATTTACCATCTGTTCTGATGGCAGTTTTTATTGCTGGACACGCACCAGTACCAATCTGGCTCTGAAAATCTGATACACTTTTAAGTCAATGTGATCTTTTCTAGCTCCCTATCTTTTTTTTACGAAAGTTATTTATATTTGCTGGCTCAATTTAGTACTCTCCAGCAGAATTCTGCGGTACCTTCCTGACCTAAGAATTTTCTTATCCTTTTTAGATCTCTCCTAACAGTGCCGATCTTTGTGACGTCCAATTTACACCAACAGCAGAATAAATAAAAAGTTGTCAGTTGTACTTTAGAAAAACAGACTATGGTTTGCTTGCGATCCAAATATTAGTGACCTCCCACAAAAGACTAAGCCATTAACCTAAATTAAACTCACTTACAACGTTTTTCTTGAGAAAATTTTTAATTTTCAGGCAACACGAATGACTATTTACGTATTAATTGTTGAGACAACGCTAAATGCTGTGCCAGGATTGATCATGGTAGTCTCAATAACCGCCGGGTCGACTGTAATGGTCAACATAATGGCATATGTTTCTGGAATGGGTAATTATATGTGTCATGCTTGTCATCCGTTCATTTTTGCATTCTCGCATCGTGACTTCAAGGAAGTTCTGTACCGTCGGTCTACCCAGACCCAAACATTTGCCATGGCATTGGGCAATTTGAAAATTCAGAAATAACAGGATCGTTGAGTGGCTTAAATAAAGGCAAACAAAAAGGAAGTGCGGAAATGAAAATCATGCGCGACGCTTCTTTTTAAACTCATTGGCGAAGCGCATCAGGCTGGCCCGTGCGTTCATTCATTTTTGCAATATTTCTAGCTGTGTAGTAATCCCAGCATCTAGAATTTGTGAAACACTGGTCCTCGAAATTCAGGAAGTTAATTACGCAACTACGTGGTACTTGGGCAGGGGATATTCCGTTAAAATTTTAGCTTTCTAGCTTTTCTGGTTCTTGAGTTAGCAATTTTACTGCCAAAAATTTTGAGGAAGCTGCCCTTTAGAGCCGCGCATGCCTAGGGGCCGAGTATGAAATCTTTGAGTTCTCTGTGGACAGGGAACACCATCTTGGAACAATTTTTCCGCCGAAATTTTAGCGTGGTCGTGTGCGGGACCCTGACGTGCGTATGGGTTGAAACCGCGGTCCTTGGGTGGCGTTTGGCGAGAAACTCACTGTCAAAGCTTTAGCGCCAAAGCTTACTTGGTTGCCGAGTCGAAATGCCAGGACAGATCGACAGACAGACAGACACACACGCCATGGGTCACCACAATTTGTTTTTATATATGCACACATGCAAAAACGCATAAAATAAGGATTACTTAAAGTCGGGCACTAAAAAGCTGGCCGTCTTTAAGTAATCTCCTTGAAAAATCGAAAACTCGGACAACCAGTCGCTGGTTAACACACGTACTGACAATTCAGACGATCTGGGTAATCTTAGCACAAATATTTTCATCAACGTGAAAGCTTAATTGGTCATTTACAAAAATTTTGCAATGGTTGCAGCTAAGACATAAGATTTCAAATGCCTTGCAACTTTTTCCAAATGTATTACACTGATTATGTTGAGTTCCAGAATTTCTTGACTGTGTTGAGTTCCGGAAAGAAACATTTGTTGGATAATTTGTTTCCAGCCTTTTTTGTTTTCGAGTGACAATGCTAGTCTGAATTTGAGCCGCTAACTAAAAGCCAGGATAATGATCCTAAAGCTGATTTTGGTGATAATTGCAATAAAAATAAATCTGGTTTTTCCCCAATTTCAATTTTCTCCATGTATAAACACAAAAAAAAAAAAACAGACAAGTACATATACGTGCCACACAAATACAAGACACAGCACTACATCAATCCGCTTTGGATCCATACTGGCATTTTGCTTTGCCAGAAAATAGTGCAAAAAATAGGGACGGTAGGGAAATGAACGCACCAAAATTGAAAGTTGTACAGTGGGGCAAGAAGCTTTTCAGGTATAAGAAATACGTTTGTAACTGTCAAAGGAAGCTGTGCGGTGATTCGTTCTCAAGCGCCGCAGCGCCAGGGGCGACATTCCATTCTTGGGATCAGCTAAAACGGCTGTTTATTTAATGACGAGAATTTTGCTTTGGAGTTTTTTTTGCTATAATAGTAGAGTAGAGTTCTTCAATTTGAAATGTGACGTTTAGTTTCTGTAGCTTTGTAGAAATGACCCGGTTGATCGTATAAAAAATTAGAAACTCTTTAGCTTGCCCGACTGAAAACTTGAAAGATTGTGCAACTTCAATTGTCACGTGTCCCAACGTATTTGAGAAGTAAACATGTGTGAAGGGTGAATTTAGATTTTCTGGATCACATATTGGCAGGAAGCACCTCCAAAAACATCTGCTTCTAAGCTTTCCCAGTTTTCAAATTTGAAGAGTTTCAGGCTAGACTTTCAAGTGCTCGCACTGAGAATTAGGCTTTTGAGGGAACTGCATTTAAGCACCCACAGCCACACGTAAATACGACACCTCTTAGTAAAATTTCAGTTTTCTACCTTATGCTTTCCGATCTTGTAGAGTTGACAATAAATTCCTGTAAAGAATTTCACGCGTTCGCATGTGAAGCTTGAACATGATTAGAAGCTAAATTTGGTTGAGTTGTGCATGGGCAGGGAAGACTGCCTTAAAATTTTAGCTTTTTAGCTTTCGCGGTCCCAGAGTTAGTAATTTTCCAGCCAAAATTTTCACTTTTCCGCACGTATATTAGAAATCGAATTTGATTGGATCACACGTGGGCAGGGAAGACTGCCTTGAAATTTAAGCTCTCTAGCTTTCCCGGTCCTGGAGGTAATAATTTTCCTGCCAAAATTTTCATGGCTTCGCACGTAAGATCTAGGCCTAGTTAGGGACTGGCTTTGAAATCTCTAGATCGCACCCTTAAAAATTTCACCTTCCTGGCTTTTCTGTTTCTGAAGTTCGCGTTTCCCCCACCAAAACTTTTACTTCTCCGTACGTCAGAAGCAAACATGCGTGAAAGCTGATGTCATGTTTCTGGGGCACCAGATAAAACAAATGCAAATTTTCAGTGTTTGAGCTTGTTTGTTTGCCGAATCGAAATGCCCGAACACGCGAACACGTACACATCCACAACAGAAACGCAGGGCTGTTACAACATCTGCTTTTGCTCTCTATTGCAGCGCTATAGCGCCACACTCACTGCAAAAAAGCATAAAAAGAAAGGAATTCAAAAGGTGAAAAGCGACTAACGATTCTAATGAACGCCCGGATTATCAATAGTTTGACCATCAAAAGATGCAGTAATTTCCAGAAGGAACTGATGGTATCTTCAGTTCCGTATAACCTTTTATCAGACCTTCAATGGTGTAGTTGAATAGGTGGGAAATGGAGAGGATAGTAGGATTTTTGCATTATTTCTAATCAAATAGTCAGTCCTGCATATTCATAAATGCTGGTTTCTTCGATGACAGCACGTGCAACAGTGACAAAGAGACACTCTATGTACTATTAGCAGAAAGTCTTGACAGTCTTTTTCTGAGATGGATTTCTTGATGCATCAGGAGAAAACAAGCCCAGTGGACTTTAGATAATTTGGCACCAAAATGTCAAAATCGGAAACGAAGAATATATTTTCCTTTTTCTTCAAGCTTTTGTTTAAATATAAGGAAAGACAGGGGGAAGAAACTTACTGGCTTTTTCAAGTGTTCTATGCGCCACATTCTTAACTACATCCAGAGATGCCAATGGAGTCGTTGATTCTACATCAAAGCTTGAGTAAACATCACTCTTAAGGCTCCATGAATGGGAGTGATGAATAAACTTAACTCAAGTCTGCGGAAAAAAAGGTAAGAAAGAACTGTAGACAGGAAACTGTCCAGGGAACAACATCGGCAATGGAATGACAACCGTGAAAGAGGAGAGGACGCTACATGCGAGTAATACTGTGTTTTGAAAAAAATAAATTTGCATAATTCCGCTGTATGTGGACATAGGGAAATTAGTTGCTTAAATCTTCTAAAGCGAATACTTTAAGGGAAAACATAATTTGTTTTCGGAAACGAAAAAAAATGCTCCAAAAATATAAAATCATCTTAGCGACATAACTGAATTTTTTATCCTTGAGAATGCAAATAAAAAAAGAGTAATCAAGTAGTAGTTAAGCCATTAGCATGCACTGCATGTTTTGTGGATTTTTTCTTTGTTTTCTTTCAAATAAATAATCCAGGATGTTTTGTCACAATTATTCACTCTGAGCACGCATCAGCTTTTTATAGAAACCACAGCCTCGAACTGCAGACAAAGTTCTAATGCTCGTGTATTTCCAAGCCCTGGGTGGCATGCCATCTCGGATGATAGCCCAGCTATCCTTCCTTTAGTTCTCCTTCGTTCTGTCTGTTACTTTCCTTATTAATCACCTCAGTTACAGAGAGTCATTGCTTTGTGTCGATGAGTTAAAATGCATAGCTTAAGCCAAATTTGTGTTTTTGCATAATATGCGGTTAAAATCCTTGCCATATTCAATGTGAAAGTTGAGGGCATTTAGAAGTATCTCGATACAGAAACACGCGCCATTTGCTGGGACGACGCCGGCAGCAGTTTCTTCCAAGGGTTGCTCAAAAGAAAGCAGATAGCGGCTTTGATTCTTTAGCATATGCCCGTATCAATTTGCCATCGAAAAGAACCAACGAATGAATCACTGAAAGACTAATTATTCGGCTGGGGTATTCGAACCCCGTCACCTTCTGCAAATGAGATGTACTGCTTAGCATTGTGTTAAACCTGACAGTTTTGCATCATTAATCACAAAAACACATTCCCTCGACACCTCGTGCATATGTGTGTATGCAAGTGTGAGTGATGATAAGTCATAGAACTGTGAATTCCAGGGACTGAATAGCCAGTACCGTCTTTTATTTAGCTTTGAAAAACTCAGAAACGAAAAAACGACACCACAGTTCTTCTACTTTCCAATAGATTTCCTTCATGAAAATGTGGAGAATCGAGCCATTCACAAGGGGTACTTTTTCCCCTACCGTATTCAAAATTTTTTTCCTACCGAATTCAAAATTCCAACCGTATTCGTTATCTATGAAGGGTGGAACCATTCCACGAGGGGCACTTCTCGAGTGCCCCTACCTTTCATAGATAGTGAAATATGGTAAGAATTTTTGATTACTGGCTTTTAAGATACATTCACACACCTAACACATCCATGGCTGTTTTATGCTCAATTTCAGGATCATTTCCAGAACGCAAAAATTGTATGGTCGTTAACCGCGCCCGTTTATAAAAAATTTTTTGGCTGAAGGACGAAAAGTTGAAGAAAATCCTAAAGGACCTGAGATATTAGCAAGGACTAATGCATTTTCAAATCTATGTTAATGCCGCCAGCACTTGCTTGATAATATTCGAGCTCTTGGCCAACGCTTCAGTTCTTGCACTATTTTTCTGTCAAGTAAAACTGCGCCGTAACGAACAACTCCACACGCTCATGTTGCTTCCGTTCGCCGATCTAATTTTTGGCGTTGCCGATGTCCCATATCATTTCATATTATTAACTGGATGGCAAATTAACGCTAACGGTTTGTAAAATTATCCCTCTGC